AAAATACAAAACGTTAAGCAGAATTCCTGTTAGGGGAACATAGTAACACTTAAATACATGAAGTTAATAAATCAACGTAGAAATCTGCTTTATTCTTAATACGTCAGTGGTGTAAATAAACAGTAGAATATAAATGTCCCAGTGTGCACATGTAAAACCTAATTCAGTATTCATACCATGTATGCCGAATTTCAGGATTATATCAATAACGTAATTGACTATTTACATGTACAATCCCCAAAGCTGGTAGGTACCTGCTGATCAATAAGATAATGTAACGACTGGACGAAATAGTGATGTAACACAACATTCTACTAGGTTGCTATTTTGAGATAGATAATATCAGCTGATCAGTGTAAAGCTGTGACTGAAACAGCTTTCATTCTTCACGTCTAATCAATTTTTATTCATGTAAATAAGCGAAGCAAGAAAGTTGTGTGAGTATCTTGATATGGTTATTAGCAATAAATTGTACTCGAAACGTCATCAGTAAGTATTACTGTATAATTCAAATGAGCTGACAGAATAGTTCTAAAATATTTGGGCGCTGAGTGAGAAGTAGACATTTGTAAAAAATTATATTTGTACAACTATTTACCGACACACACAAAAACACTCTGTTTAAAGTGTTTAACAAAGGTAGACCAATATTTGTAAGTCCGAGGTCAAATTTTGATCACAACTTATACAATTTTGTTTATCATACATGTTGATACCTGTTTCATGACTCATGATTGGACAAAGTTTTTAAAAACAAGTGATGTTCCTTTTATATATAAACCTCTGTTATGTTAATTTCGATTAATTTCCCTGAAGAAGTTCGGACCAGATTGCCGAACGAAACTCTGGAATTATGCATTTCAATCTCGCTGAGATTTTACAAATATAATTTTTTACAAATGCTTACTGTATACCACTGTGAGACTTTATCAAAATAAAACTTTATCCATAATGGAATTATGTATCTAGCCATTATGTGTCGTCAGCCAAGTAAATTAGACAGTGCAACAAGATGGCCGCTTAAGAGACAACTGAAATACACGAACAAATTCCCCATTGAGTAAACGATGACTGGGATAGCTATGAAGTTTATAGTGATACGTATATTTAATGGCCACTAGAAATGTCGATAAAGTGCTGTAGTATTTTTTCGTCAGATACTAATCATTTTATATCATTTATTACGTACATGTAAACTAGTATTACTTTATTTTTTAAATCATGACTCAGTCTTACGAAATCATATATCACAGTGTCGATATTCAGTTGATTTCAAAGCTTTTGAATTTCTGGCTTCTTTTTGTCAAATGAAGATTGGTAAAAATAACTTTCGGAGCAAAATAAGCAGTTTGATTGCATATCTGTCTTGGCTAATACAATCAGTGATGGCTTTTCTTAGTTGGGACTCCAGCTAATTCACTTCATAGTTGTTACTGGTCTTAGAAAATTTCCCTCTAATTAACAACCCACTGCCTACTACACTCCACCTGAGTTTGACAAGACGTCATAAAGACTGCATTCAAATACTTTTTTTGATTTTTGTTAAATAACTTAGAATTTTTTAATGAATTACTTCTACTAAACGAAATTAAGTAAAACAGAATGACAAAACCCGATGTTAATGGGCTGGTTAACCTGAATTTATATATATATATCGTCTTATGAGAATGAAGGTTCATTGCACTGATATTGCTATGAATGACATTAGTTTGTAGTTGACCAGCATAAGCATACATGCATATAGACGTGCTTATTAGAGTACACATGCAAGCTATATAACTAATACAGTATTTTTAATATTATGCAGTTAACACGTAAGCAGGTAAGCTGAATCATTATATTAATAATGCTATTCGGTGTTCATAATAATGTGATGTAATGTTTCTTCTCTAAGAAACCTTTTTCTTCACATAACCGGCATAATCCATCAATCTAGAATTTCTTCACTATCGTATAAAGACTATTAACGATTTTTTTCATAGACATCATGAAAGCTTTTAAAGGTAAAACGGATGGTTGTATATTCGCTTGTTTCAAGAACCCACCTTAAATTTGCAGCTGTTAATGCTAATATTGTATAAAAACATTTTTAATATCCTGCTTTATCAGCTGTTCAATCAGCAAATGTTGATCTGTTGTGCATATTCACTAAAGAAGTATTTTGATGGAAATCATTCAAATGACTTATTCCTTTTTTGTTTTTGCAATCTACTGTCCTCATTCACATCCTTATATCTTCATAAATTTATCTATTTTCTGCAAAGTGAGACAATATTTACTTTCGAATAAAATCTCTAAGTCCAAAGTGTCACGCGATTGAATAAACATTAAGCGACAGAAAGTAATGTACTAACGCAAAAAAGTAAATCAAGGCTGAGTGTGGGAGCTGTGGTAAAATATAATCCCATGCAAGATAAGTTTATCTCATAAAACAAACAGTGACACAATATTAATAACAAGTTGACGTTCCAAGTACAATTTATTGTTAACATTCATATCGTTGTAATCAGCAGAGTTCCTAACCTACTTTACATAGTTGTCTACTGCCTCCTGCATTTTAATTCAATCTCCCATCAACTAGGCGTAGGTGTCACGTCAGTCATGTTACATTTATTTGCTGCTGATTCAATGAACATAGATTCAATGACATGCCTGTCCTTCCCCACATCTTACTGTGTAATTTCATGCACATGCATGCACATAATAGCTGAGCTATTTTAGATATTATCTGACTTAGAGGGTTCAGACGTTCAGGTTAAATTTCTATGTTCTGGAAGCCTAGCTGATCCCGATTTCCCAGTTTTGATTTACCGTCATTACATGATATTTCTTAAATTATATCATTTCGCTAAGTAAGTACATCGGATCCACAAGTCGACTAGGTTTATCTCTAATTGGCTCAATTACCACCATAATTCCAGCGTTGGTAATAATCCTGCATAGCGCCTCTTTTGATGATGTAGCATTATCGAGGTTTTGAATCGATTATTATTTTTATAAATTTATTATTCTCATTACTACTACTAGTTTTCTAATCGACCTTAGTAAACTCCTGATTGAATTCTAGAGCGTAGTCATTCTGCAGTAAAGCTTTTCCAACCAGTTTGATTTCCTTACTTAAATTTTTTGACTCACCAATCAGACGCCTGGCTCTACTGTTTGAACATTTGCTTAATCACACCATTACTGATTTTTGATGAGCTGTTTCAAAATGTTTCAAAACACCTGTCACATCAAGATTATTCTTTTTCTTCATTCTTTCCTTTTCGAATATCTTCAAATCTCAGTTCCTTTTCATGTGTGTTAGTCTAGAAACTGAGCGGTTTTTGATAGAGCATAATGTAGATGTTGGATATTTAGACAGCTCATTTACAATTAAAAGCGTTCTCTGAGCTGGTTGGTTTAATCGCGAAGCTTTCGTCGTCCTTCCGGACAACATCTTCAGCGCCATATTTATCACGAAGTGAAGTGATTTAAATTTTCTCATGCATGATGTAATTGCGTCTCCTGGTTACTATCTTCACATATGTATTGACCACTTTCTATTGACTAGGATTTTAAACTTTTTGGTCACCTGATTTACTTTTTATTAATTGGTATACTTCATCTATATTAACGTGTTTGTTAATCGCATTTTCGCTTGAGTACCAGGCCTCTAGGAATTCTCTGGCACTTTTCGTGTTTCCTCTGTTTAAGATTTTGACATGATCCCAATCAAACTGATGACCATAGTTGTCTGCATGCATTGATACTAAAGAATTCATATCAGAGACGCAATTACATCATGCATGAGAAATTTAAATCACTTCACTTCGTGATAAATATGGCGCTGAAGATGTTGTCCAGAAGGACGACGAAAGCTTCGCGATTAAACCAACCAGCTCAGCGAACGCTTAATTGTAAATCATCCACCTGAGCTACAAATCTTCTCTATTATTTCAAGACAGCTCATTTGTTCAGGTGTTCCTAAAATAGACCGTCATCTAAATAGGGTCATATATAGGAAATTTATAACTAATCTAGTATATTAAATACAGTTATTTCTGGAAGATTCCAAATAGTTTGAATTAGTGCACAAAAACAAAATTCTTATTAGAATATATGATACCATCCAAATCCATCAAGCCTAAAGTTAACCCTAGAAATACCTCAAAAAATGAGCTGTCTGAACATTCAGTATCCAGATTATGTTTCACTAGAAATTGCTCAAATTCTGGATTAATTCATGTGAAACGGAACATTGACTTGAAGATATTCTAATAGAAAAGGACAGAAAAATCTTGATATGACAAGTTTATTCACTAACGTTCAAATAAATGCAGCTCTTGACACAGTGAAAAATGACAAAAAACATTGATCGTAAACTCATACACACAACTAGCTTATGGGTCGGTGAATTCATTTCGTGTATTTAGTTATTTCTGGACTCTAGACTTTTCAAATTTCAAGGTTACAAATACAAAAGAAAACTGGGTAGTGACTTGGTCAGCAGTATCTCCGGTAGTAAACGATATACTTAAATATACTAAGGAACAAAACACTCTTAGATGCTTTGAAATTTTTCAGTGGTGAACGTTTCTATAAGAATTCTGTGTCCATCCAGGCCATTTATGTTTATTTTTTAATCCTCTAATGTTGTTTTGTGTCTAAGTGAACCAGTGACATGTTATGTTGTCAGTCATCAACTCTCCACATACACAGAAAATCAATACCCAGCAGTTAAAACGCCCGTCTTGTATTCAAAACTTTTGAAAAGATCTATCGCTAACTGCTTATAATACAGTTCAGGTGACTACCTGGAGTATTCATCGTTAAGATAATTACTATTTTAAGGAAACTAATCACGTTGGTTGTCAAAATGGTAGTATAAAATGTCAAGATATGTTCATATTTATCCCCATTCCGGCAATAGTGTATTTTCATTGATGATAACTCGTTTAGGTATTGATAATTTAGGTACATGGGATAGTTTCTGAGTTATAAAAATTAAAAAAACTCACCTGTATCTCCAGTTTATGCTTGCGATCATTGTTTGCTGACAGTTTAATATCTGCCTTATCATTATTTTGATTACTGTGATTTGTGCTGAAGCGATTTCCTTCTAGTTTTTGATTGATCATTTTAAACTGTTGTATATTTAATTCTAATTGAGACAATGGGAGACTACTTAACTTATTGTCACTGTTACTATTGTTGTTGCTTTTTTGACATTTGGAATGGTTTTGATGAATCATTAGTGTGTCCTTTAAATATTTTCTGTTAGTCGATAGTGGCGATGTTGAAGACGATGTGTTAGTACGATTACCATTACAATCAGTAGTTGTTTTAGTTAATGGATTCAGGCGAAAGTTGTTCTTCTTTTTAAAATATGGTGAAGTGATTCTTTCAAGATTGAACAGATGTTGATTGGTATTGGTCTGTTCTTTCTTTAGAAATATTGGTGAACATGGAGCTGATTGTGTTGTGCACAAATGATCTCTTTTGATACGATTTATTGGTAGACTAAGAAGAATTTTATGTAATGTTCCAGATTTCTCGTGACTTTTATTATCACCTTTTATAATTGTATTTGATGAAGCGTTTGGAGAACTCTAGAAGAAATAAACATAAAAACGATGTATATTTAAATAATATCTTTTTAAGTTTATCATAGGAAATTTTAGCTATTACAGACAATACTTTTTAATTTTCGATACAAAACTAATTATCCCGTATTCTCTTAAGTATGCTATTAACAGCTCACCTCTCTCATATCTCGTGAGTGGTTAGTTATCGAATTTCAGCTTTTCTACAGACATAACTGCAAATTTAGTACTCACTTTCATTATCAACTCAGTTCGATTTTTCAGTTGTGATTTCAATGACAAAAGTAGTCTAGAAAGAGTTCTCACGAGAACTGAAAAATGATATATTGTGAACAGCTTTTCAATATTTCTTTGGCTACATTTTGCGTGAACTATATTCAAAAAAAATATTGAAATATTTTCAAGGTAACACACCAAATCCAGAAACCTTGTAAAAGTTACTCATGCCACTTGTTAAACCGTCTGCCAGCTCCACGGAAAGACGCAATTACCTACATTCGCTCACGTGTCACAATGAAAAGGAGATTATGGTGTATTTCTGCTAGTCAACCAGTGTACCAGCCAGTAGTCTTACTGTGAATTATTTTGCTTCAGAACTGACGCTTTTAAAATAAAAGATCTCTAGGTTAATAATACGAGCATGAAAGAAAGATTTCAGCTGCTTATTAATGCCAGACAGCACTTCATTGTGTCTTCTTCCAGAAGCAAAACTTAAGCTACTGTGTTAATTAATATAGAAAGATTTGTCACCATCAAATAACTATAGAGCTGAAAGACTATTCACAACCTGGGTCAAAGATATTTACTGCCTCAACACTTAGAAATTTACTGAAAATTACCTTGAACCAATATTAATTTCTTGTTATTTGTAGTGGCGATTAAACTGTACCTACTAAACGATACATGTGTAAAGGGAACTGCAAATGCTTAACAGATTCAGTCACCTCTTCTGGCTCAAACTTATTTCATGTTGAACACATCTTTTGTGTTTATCACCATATTAAGAGGAAGTCTAGATTTTAATCCTCAGGTTGTTAATGTTCCTCCAGAAAAAAAAATCACTCTACATAGAAGTGTATAACAAACGAAAAAATTAACCACGGAATCCTCACTTTATACCAATGCTGCTTTACAGCATATATTAATTATCTAACCGTAGGTTTCGCTGAAAACCAAGTATATTTGGTAGACCAAAGCTTATGAATCTATGATTAGTTTCTTGAAAGAGAAGTGACTATTCAGCATAATGTAATTTAGCATAAAAAATAATCCCACTGTGGAAAAATTCCACTACAGTAAATGTGCCTATTTAATCAAGAAAAAGTCAAGAAATGAAAAGGACTACAAAATGCCAGTTGATTAATATAAATATTACCACCAAGGTTGTTCTCTGGAAATGTGATGTAATATTAATAACTAGCTGAAAACATGAAAAATATTGCTTTTTGTCTTTTCCTTTAAAGTGAATTAACATAGTAGACAATCTTTTGTCTAAATATTTGCAAAATGAATGTCACTTCAGTTTACTAAACTGGACAAGGAAGACAGTAATAGAAAATGTTTTTCATCTGTATAGCTGTTTTTTATATCTGCCTCTGTGTCGCCTTTTGTCATTCGCGTGAAAACACGTGAATAAGGTGGAATATGAGTGGTTATTTCAAGGCTTTCGAAATAAATAGGGACAGTACCAGTGATCATAGTTGAAAAGAAATCTAAGACATCTTAAGATTTAATCTGTATTTTTTCAATTACTGCATTTGCCCGATATCTGATTGACAACTGTTTTTCATTGTAAGTCACATGACACTTATTTTATATGCTTTTGTCTAACAGCCTCAGTATATGGGTTCCCTTGATTTTTCCCTAAAGTCCTTCAAAGATTAAAAAATATCATTTAGTGTTATGACGACACATCTGCTTAGTGATGCATGATATCATCAGTGTTCAGTTTTGTTTTTGATAGGATTCAAAGACTAAGGCACGCTGGATACTCTCAAATCTACCCGCTAAATATAAAGGAATTTCTAGGTGTTTTGTTTCTGTGCCAGTTGTCTGAGTATGTTAATGTGAAACGCTTTTTCTCCGTAACAATTCTTTAGTCATTTATTCATTCAGTTGTTATGATGCTTTCGTCATATGTGTTATTTGTACTGTCAGTTGGACAACTGTAAATCAAGAAGACTGTGTTTATACAAAGCAAATGATGCCTATATTTCATTTTAAATCAATCCATAAATATATTCAGATCATAGCATTGAAAGTATTTTTGAAGACTATTTAAGGGGATTTTTAGTGCAAGTAGTGTGTGAATATTTTCTATATAAATTCAATGTAGTCAAAAGATTATAGCAGATATTTTATTTGTCCCGGTTATTGATTAGCAACACTTAATTGATACAAATCCCCCACCGTATAATCAATCGTTCATAATATATCTGCTGAGATGAATTTTATGACTCCCAAATTAGATGAAGCAGGGTATTTTTATTCGATTGATAGTTAATGTCAACAGCATAGGCAATAAATATAAATTAAAAAATTCTATTTTCCACAAATGAGCTGAATTTTAAATACCAATAAACATTTGAGGTTTTATGTTAATGAGCTATAATTAATTGAACCGGCTTTGGTTGATATGAAAGTATGGGTTGTAGATATGTTTGAACCACAGCGTTACCCTTTCAGCACCCCGCTGGACGTGATAAAAATATCTAACTGGTAATCCGGTCTAAGTTTGATTTCTGTCTGCAGAAAATCTCTTTCATCGTTGTATTTACTTGTGAGCAGTTTAAATAGCCTGGAAAATATTTCAGCCTGATACAATGAAAGTAGTGAACAAGAAGATATACATATATGAATCAGTTTGCGAATCCTTGTTGGTCATCGGTCAGTAAACTATTGGCTGTCTATTTACCCTAAATAACACGTTGATAATTTGGTTTAACAACTTATTATCAACATAGTTTGTTGTCTTCTAATCTGTTCTTTCTCATTTTAGATTTCATTCAGTTTTTCGTCCTATTTATCCTTTTTAGCCATCCAACTTTTCTAGTGTTTCAAGTGTAAGTGCATGTTCCTTCCCCCACACACATAAACATTCTCTGCTGACGAAAACAGTACCATTATTACATATGTATATTCATTATAACCACTTGGGAAGATATCGAACGTCTAAAATGTCAACATTAATTTTCTTTTATTACTACTTCAAAAACTTAACAGAAGTAAAACAGAAATTTGTTGACAACAGTTACTTTAATGGATGTTAGACTGTCTAATTTGTAGATTTTTAGAATAGTTTTTCTTCAGAGAAGAAATTTACATTTTCATGAGACTTTAGCAAATAAATAAGGAGAAACAATTTGTACTGCTTTTTAAGTAAAAATAAGAGAACACTACCTCCATGTTTCTTGACAATATTTCACCTGGTGTTATAATGGTGACAGTAGTTCTTTTATATAGGACAGGATGAAGTTTTTGTTAGATGATGCACGAAAGACTTACGAATTATGTTTAAGAACTAATTTTACTGCAGAAATTAACTCTCTGTCTCTCTTGATACGCTGTTTTCGTGATTCTTAACCAGACGATATTGTCTTCACAAAATGGTTGAAGGTTGTTTCAATAAGTAAATCCAGAATGATGGTCATGAATATTATTTCCCTATCACGAAGTGAACACTGATTATATTTGTTGAGAGATTTCTCTGAAGTACAGAAGATTTAGAAAATCTGCAGCATTGTTCAACCAGTTACTAAAATTTGCTTAACATAGTAAACATACTGTTCATGATAACAGAACATCGAAACTGACTTAGAATAAACATCTAGCTGGGCCAACTAGATGGAGCACAAAGAGAACATACATTTTACATAAATGCATGTCAGTAAATTAGATAATAAGTTTAATCGAGTATCTGGATTATATGAAAAGTTTAGAACAGGTCTATGGTACAATAAATTGCAACTTATTAACAGTAAGAAATGCGCGCTGAAATTGAGTGACCAGAAACCATAAATAACACAACATTAAATCTAAGGCTCTGAATAATTCAAGAGTGACAAAGCCAATGACACGTGAGTGGGAAGACTGAAGAAATATTTAGAAAAGATGTTTAGCCCTACTAAACAATATCAGAGAACAAATTACTACAGATGTTAAACAAACAAGTATGCATAAGCGAATTTCAAACTGCTTTGTAAATGTTCTGCTTTTTCTTTTGCATTCTACGAATTATTTTGCCCACGCGAATTCCTTAATGTGCGTTGTATTATTACTTTATATACACAGAGTTACCATAGACAGACATTACCATGTGTCCTCTTTGGATTACAGTAACATTATCTTCACATAATTCATCAATCAACTGATGTGAATCAGTTTATTAAGAACCGTATCCGTTCCTACTATAAATATGTCAAACACAAAGGTCTAGTATTAGATAGATGGAGGTAATCGGGAGCAAGCCTAGGTCTCGTGCTAGTTAGAACTCGCCAGTCAGCAAGGCGTCTCTACAACATTTAAGGAACTCATGTCTCTTCTGAGATTCGAACCCGCGTCACTCAGTTCTGCAGTCAGAGACGTTACCACTAAGCTATTCGGGCTCGCGATTGACCTCCTGTAGGACTGTATTGGATAATTTGATTGGACACTAGTAACTAGTGTGATATGTTTAGTCTAGAATTCAGTCTGCACCAGAGAAAGAATAGACACGTTGCACTATTTGTCCGTGCCAATCAAATTATGCACTGCAGTCCTACAGGAGGTCAATCGCAGCCCGAATAGCTTAGTGGTAACGTCTCTGACTGAGAACTGAGTGACGCGGGTTCGAATCTCAGAAGACATGAGTTCTTAAATGTTGTAGAACGCCTTGCTGACTGGCGAGTTCTAACTAGCACGAGACCTAGGTCCTAGGCTTGCTCCCGATTACCTCCAACCATCTAATATCATCAAATCAATGTGCACCATGATGGCGAACTACCTAGAATGGTGGCCACATTGCAAAC